CGGAGAAGGCTAACCCAGCTTGAAGAAGCTAAGGATTTTTCTTCTGGAGTTGCTAGACGACCGGACCTGAAAGCTGGTGCACTCTTGATGACCAAAGGGGTTCGGACAAATAACACTAAGAGGATTGGTCATGTACCTGGGGTTGAAGTTGGCGACATTTTCTTCTTTAGGATGGAACTTTGCATTGTGGGGTTACATTTTCCAAGTATGGCAGGCATAGATTATTTAAAAACTACCATGAATGAAGAAACTGTGGCTGTCAGCATTGTCTCTTCTGGAGGATATGATGATGAGGGGGAAGATGGAGATGTCTTGATTTACAGTGGCCATGGTGGATTGAAAGATGGACGTATGTCTGATCAGAAGCTTGAAAGGGGAAACCTTGCTCTGGAGAAGAGTCTACATCGTGCTAATGAAGTAAGAGTTATACGGGGGGTACCGGAGTTTCCCGGTGCAACTGGGAAGATATACGTTTATGATGGCATTTACAAAGTTCAGGAGTCATGGGGTGAAAAAAATAGATCTGGATGCAATGTTTTTAAGTACAAGTTGGTTAGGGTACCCGGGCAGCCTGAAGCTTTTACATTGTGGAAATCAATCCGACAATGGAAGGATGGAATTGCTAGAAGACCTGGGGTTGTCCTTCCTGATCTGACTTCGGGTGCAGAGACTTATCCCGTGTATCTTGTGAATGATGTTGATGATGAAAAGGGACCTGCGTATTTCACTTACGTCTCCAGTCTCATGTACTCCAAACCTTTTGCTACACCTAAACCTTCTTTGGGCTGTCAATGCATGGGTGGATGTCAACCAGGTGGTACCAACTGCCCCTGCAATCAGAAAAATGGGGGCTATCTTCTCTATTCATCACTTGGGGTTCTTCTGGCTCACAAGCCCTTGTTACACGAGTGTGGACCGACTTGTGCATGTCCTCCAAACTGTCGGAATCGAGTGTCTCAAGCAGGTCCGAAAGTACGCCTGGATGTCTTTAAAACAAAGAACAGAGGTTGGGGGCTTAGGTCTTGGGATGCCATCCGTGCTGGAGGTTTTATTTGTGAGTACGCAGGGGATGTCATAGATGCTTCTACTACAGGTGATTTTGAGAATGAAAATGAAGATAATTATATTTTTGATGCTACCCGCTCCTACGAGCCACTGATGGCTATACAGGATGATGAAGATTGTAATGGTTCTAGAAAAGTTCCGTTTCCCCTTGTTATAAACGCAAAAAATAATGGAAATGTTGCTCGTTTCATGAACCATAGTTGTTCACCCAATGTGATCTGGCTCCCAGTTCTGCGTGAAAGTGATAATAACTCATATATCCATATTGCTTTCTTTGCCATCCGACACGTCCCTCCCATGCAAGAGCTAACGTACGATTATGGGAGTGTCCCACCTGAGAAGGGAGACCATGGAAGAAAGAAGTGTTTGTGTGGGTCTGTGAAATGCAGAGGGTACTTCAATTGACGATGCCTGATACAATGAATAATAAATTTTCTTGGTGCTTGATTCCTCTGGGAAAAAGGTTAGTTCTTTGGTTATTAAATTTTGATTATCCAAGTGTTTCTTATTTTTATATACTTTCATTCCAGTAATTCTAGAATGGTGCATCTGCGTGTTCCTTTTAAAGAAGTATTCGTGGATTTTCTCAAGTGGGCCTTTTTGGGTGCTGTATTTTATTTGGATGTTAATTTTCATTCATTGATAATATGCAAGAAATTTTGATTAAGAGGAGTTAGTCTTAACAAAAGATGTTACACACTTCTAACCTTAACTTCAATTGATTGCAAGGCATAGAAATTTTATGATTTCACAAGCCAAGCCTACTTGTATTTTTAGACAGACAATTCTTTTGAAACAAACTGAAATCCGCACGGATCACAAAATCTGTTGTTGATTAGTTCAGATTAAGTGGTTTATATTAAAGTCTGCTTCATGTCTCTGTTTTTAACAAAAAACCGTCTCAATGAAATTCCGCTTTGCCCTTGTTTGTCATCCTTTAACAAATTAAATTGTTTGCTATAGTAATATTCTCCACTACACTTTCACACAATAAAATATTCTACACACAAACCAATAAACTTCCTTAAAATTTTAACCACACATACTCCAAAAAAATACTATTCAAAACTCTATAATTTCTCTCATAATGGGAGACAACCAGACTCTTAATTGTATTGCAAGTTAAGCTACCTGAGAAGAAAGAGTAGTCAACGTTAGATATATTGGCTAGCATGTGCTTGATACCGTTTCATTTCTGCACTAGTGTGTGTAATGGGTTGGGGATAGGGGTTCTTTCATGTAGTGTTCTTTTATAATTATTCTTCATTCTTCATTCTTCATTCTTCATTCTTCATTTATTATTTATTTTATTTTATTTTTTGCTCTGAACATTTTGGTTTTTGGTCTTTGTTGGAAGCGAAAAAGAATATGGGTGTGTTCTGATCTTCTCGCCATTTTTCTTCTCGTGTGGCTGCCATCTATGCATCCCCCCCAAAAAAATGAAGAAGGCACTTTTAATATGCTTTTACTTTTCTTCATTGCACAACATGTATCATGGAATTTGCTGACATTGTGTTTGGTCAATGATGTATCAAACTTTGCAGACTAATTGAACGTGTTTGAAGATGTGTACGCGTGGAATACAATACAGCACAGCGGCAAGGTGAATGTAGCTTTTTGTTGGTGCAAGGGTTTTCTTTCCCCTCTTTTTGTGTCTTATTTTACCAAAGGAAATGGAGCTAGTCGAAGTGGATTCTTGCAATGCCACTTTTTCCCTCCTCAGATGATCAGAAGTAGATTTTAGGAAAGAGCTCGTCTCAAACTCTAATGTTTAATGAGCCAGGTTTTGGCAATAGATATGTGACATAATGGTTATGAACTTAACGAGGCAGAGTTCTTGTTTAACTTCTCCTGTCCTGATGTCCTTTATCCCCTGGGCACCCTTTTAATCGTTTTTTAAATCTATTTTATTTTGAGGTGGAGTAAATAATTTTGGTATGAAGTTGTATATTGCCACTTGAAATTGTTGTAAACTAGAGAGAAAAAAAGGACAAAAATAAAGAAGTCAATAAATTGGTAAATTAACTAGAAACTTACTTTTAAAGATTAAAGCCTTGTTTGAGCCACATTATTTAAAAAAAATATATATTTTTCAACAGTGATTTGACATTATTTCAATAATACATTCTTTAATAAAATAATATTATATGTAAATTCAAAATAGTTTTTTATTTTTTAATCATATGTTTTTCATCAATATATTATTTAAAAATGTATTTTCATTCCAATAATGTGGTTCAAGGGCTAATTTTCAAAAAAACAGGGGGGTTAATTTTTATTTCACAAATCAAGTGGTAATTAAGTTTAAAAAATTATTATTACTAAAATTTTAATTAAACCTAATTTAAATATTCACCTCACCCAATTCCCACTCACCCATTTGCACATTCAAAATTTCTAAATAAATCTCTCCTCTCACACACCCATCATCTCACCCAACTCACCTTCGTTTTCGACGTTGCTGCGCACGACAACCAGAACTGTTGTAGTTGTGATTAGCGGCCAAGTGTTGCCGCACTTGCTGCTACTCGTAGAAGCAATGTGTTGTCATCGTTGCACGGTGTCGCGAGCAGCGTGTAAGCTGATTTGTGATGGCCGTTGTCGATGGTGATGGTGGATAAGGCTAATTTTAAGAGCTATTTTTTCATTGATGCGACGATTGCAACGTTTGAGGAAGACTTCGATAGTGAGAAAGTGGAGGTCAGAGATCTGTAGGTGTTTTGTTCTTAGTAGTGGTTTTATTTGTGAGTTTTTTTATATGTGGGGTGGTTTTGTTGATGATGGTTGAGTAGGCGGCGATGGTTTTATCGCTGGGGGTGTTTGTGATCTTAGTGAGTTGGTGCCTGTTTGGTTCTTGACAATGTTGGAAATGGTGCTGGCATCAAAGTCGTGGCGGCGATGAAAATCGAGTGGGATCAAATCTATCGTTGTTGTAACTATCTACGACCAGATCTATGATAATTGTAATTTGGTTACATATAGTCACAAACTAGATTGAGTTGGTCACTGACAATTACATTGAAGACAAATTTAGTTACAGTTAGTCACAGATAATACAAGTCAGTGAAAGTAGTATTTAAGATCGTAAATTTGAGTTGAAGAGGTTATTGGAAGTGATGATGGTGGTGGTGGATTGTAATGTTGGTCTACGATTTGTGCAGATTTATTTGTGATGACCTTGCGTGATCAAATATTTGTTTATTGTGATTGAATGTTACCAAATATGTGTTAACTACGATCGGTTGTGACTCGGTCTTATACCGTCACAGTTAAGATTAAATTGGTCACAAATAGTGACTCTGAAAATAAATTTGGTCACAATTAGTAACAGGAACATAGATTTGGTTACACACAGTCACAAATTAGACAGTCATATTGATGACAAATTTTGTCACCGTTAGTCATATTTAACATACATGCATGGTCATAAACAATAAATTTGGTCACAGAAAACATAGTTAATTCGTGGATGGGGTATAATCTACAAAAAAAACTTTAAATTTTAGGAGAATTTCTACTGGTGACGTGGCGTGAGGTGTAATTTCTAGAAAAAGGTTTTAAATTTCTAAAATTTTTCCATGAATTGGGAAGGGGAGGGGCGGGGTGGGTAGTCTCTAAAAAATGGTTTTCATTTTCTGAAAATTTTGTACAAAGAGGGTGGTTGGGGTGGGTTCGGGGGATGGAGGGATATTCTTCATTATAATATTATTAATTTGGTAAGGTGGGGATGGAGTCAAGTTTGGGAATATATTAATTGGGTTGGGATAATTAATTTCAATTAATTCTATATAATATATATTATTAATTAGAATTAACGCCGAATTTTGAAATAATTTTACAAGTTAGTTTTGAAATGTGATTCTTATATGTAGGAGTTATGTATTGTTCCCCCAATAAATTTGTGTGTTTTATTAAGATCTAAAGGCCCAAATTTATGAGGAAGAATTAAGGTTACAAGGGATACAATAGTCATAACAACTAGGATTGTAGGAGTATAAAAGTCATTTATAAATACTAATATATTTATAACTTCCTCTTGAATAAATATTTACAGTAATCATTTCGCTGAGATATTATTTGACATTAGGCTGAAAAAAATGTCAACAAATGAAAAAAGAGTACAAATCATTTGGAGTAATAAAATGCTGCTTCGTTAAAATCTTGTTAAGTACACCTAATGAGATAAAACTTGATCGAAGGAAAAAGAGTACAGCCACTTTCCTTGATTTCAATTTTTATATCAAGCCATCCATGCTTTGTATGTCAATATATTTCATATTAATACCTTAAACGTCAATGTCTTCAAGTAACACCCTCTCCATACGAGATATTTTTCAACCTATGATAACTATAGTAACATAATGATTCAAAAAATAACTCTTATTGATCTTTTCGAGAGTCTCATATATTAGAGTATTATTTTGAGGATAAATGTCTTGTAAGTTATGAACACTTGTTACACAAATAATATACCTCATTAAAATCTTATTAAGAAAAACTTGTAGGAAAAATTCTAATGAAATAAAAAGAGTACATTATTCTTTTGATGCTATTAAAGTTGTCTTGTTAAAAACCTTGTTACGAAGTCCAATTGGGACAAAATCTTGGTCAAAGGAAAAAAGAATACAACCCGTATTTATTTCTCCTGATGATAATATCATTTGAATTACGTTTTAGGCATATTAAATTCTTTAAGGACAGTATTAAATTTATATAAGATAAATTCATTATAATCATATTTATTATATGCATATCGAATTTCGTGCATTGTCACGCTCAGGTAAATGCTCGTGATTATATCCGTCACATGATAACTTATCTATTTATACAAGTCTTCTCGAAATTCATTACGCGAAGTCGTACATTTTATATTATGCTTTTACTTTTTTCATTTTCATTTTGCATAAGTATGCACCTTTAACTGTTCAGATTGTAGATCAAAAATTTCAGATTTCTGTAGGAAGTACAATTTTATTATAATTACGTCCAGAAATTTTAGATTTCTTTATTAAAATTCAATTTTAGTATGATCGAATCATTTTATTTGACCAATTATTACTTCAATCGATATCTTTTGACGATTTATTTTGATTTCTCGCTATTCATAATATGATATAGTACATCATGTGTAAAAGTGTTGTCAAAAACTTTTTCTCTTTCGATTTTATTCTTTTATATAATGATATAACTTATTGAGATATCTCAATTTAAAATATATTAGATACTTGAACATCTTTTGCGATTTTATAATTTGTTATATCTAAGTACTTATTAAGAATATATGCCTTCATAATATGACCATCTTTGCCAATTATTCCATTTACGATTGGATATTTTTATATTAGAATTGAATATTATCAAGCTTTAGGTGTGCCATCAAATATCATATTAACTAATTGTCCTCTATGACGTTAATTCAAGTTAGAGCATTTTAAATCTGATTGTGAGATATTATTAATCTCTTTGGTTAGTAAATACATCTCAATTAATTATCTTTCAAACTTCTGGTTCGAATGATTTAAATGATGATGGGTTTTTACATTATTTTCACCTTCTTAATTCCCCTTTTTAATGCTGAGAGAATTGTCTAATCAAATTGACAATCACCAAACCGCGTTATAAAATAACATCTATTTGGAATAAGGATTCAAATTACACATTTATTCTCTATATTATTTACTTTTCATCTTAGTATAATGTGGTAGATTAATTGTATTATCAAATAATCTGACAAAGAAATTAGGCTCTGACCATAAGTCAATTATAACGTGTAGAACTAACATGATGCGTAATAGCATTCCCTAAATAGAAAAATTCGAAGAAATTTAGCCCAAATGGTCCCTAACGTTGCCTTATGTGTTCAAATGTTCCCTAACATTTTAGTTTCTCGGCACGGACATCCCCAACCTATTTATTTTGGTGTGCAATTTGTCCCTTTTTAAGTGAAAAAGACCAATGTGCCCTTCAGTGAAATCCATGGATACGTAGCTGTATGAATATTGTAGTTCAGGCCATGGTTGCAGCAGTCAAGGATAGGGAACATGTTTTCCTTTGTACCTCTAGCATGTGTCAAGGTGAAGCATGATTTCATTGATAGTCCCATGCCAGAAAAAATGTTACTTTGCTTTGTAAATACTAGCTTGGATACTTGAGTAACCTCCATTTTGGGATAAGTGAATATTCTTTATCAATTTTGTTCTGACCTGACCTCCTGATCCTGCATAAAATTTCCCTTTATGCTTGAGCAGTCCATTTTTATGAGTATAGTCAGACTCTTCCCTTGGATTTGTCAAAAGTGCTTCAATCTTTTGTTCATCTATCTCATCTCTCATAAATAAGGGTCACTAAAATGAGTAACATGTCTGAATAAATGTGGTTTCTTCTTTCCTTATATCTTAGGCGGTATGCACTTTTGGAAAATACTTATAGTTTCCAACTTAAGAGTTTTAATAAATGTAACATGAAAATAACATAAACTGATTGGAGAGCTATTGAGAGGCCAAGGCCTCCTAGCAATGATTTAGTTTCGTCTCTGTTTAATTACATTGAGGAATTGAGAAACATTTTCATCAAATAACTGGAGATTGTTATGAGTATCTCGAGCTACTGAGTTTTCTAAGGAAAAGCATCTGCCTTCAGATACAATGATTGTTATATAGAGCATTGAAGGACAATTGCTTTCTGTCAAGTGTGAGTACAGTCACTAAGAAATCATTTTGAATAACCTTAAAAGGTTAAACCCTAACCTTAAGGGTCCCCCACCACCCCTGCCCTGGAGTATCATGAGGGAGGTAAATCGCAGGTTATGCCTCCAAGGGTACAGGGTAGAAGGCTGCTTGTACACTTGCACTTACCCAAGAGCCAAATCCATATTTCAGGATTCGAACCCTTAACGCAGCAGCCTCAAGTA